AGTGGAAAAATGAGCATTTTTCGATAACACTTGAAAATCGAGGTTTCCGGTCTTTTGGCAAACATAAAGCCGTACAAAACCTGAATCAAACATATCAAACAGGAAATATAGGCAGCATGTAGCTAGAAGTTGACTCATTAGAATCAGTAAAAAAGAAGGGAAATTCAAAGACAAACTAAAATGAGGCGTCTTTGAGAACAAGTAAAATGCTCAAGTTTTGAGGGCAATCTGTCAACAACTAAGCTGCCGAACCTCAGAATTTGCTAGATTTTGGCACAGTAGGGCAATCCATTACGATGGCACAAATATCATACTCATTTGTCGCTAAGACAAAATTTCATTTCCTGACCTTACGGAAGAGGCCGTTTTATGGCAACGAGTCTCATTTTTGTGATTAGCACGTCAAATAACCCCTATAGGCCAAGTTTCAGCAAAATCTGATGCAACAAAAATTTCTAATTGTATCGTAAATCTACCTTAACCCTTACATAAGGTTCGGCATTTGAAAAGATTCGGCAAAAATGTCCGCATTTGCAGTTCACATCATAATTCTTATATTGCCAGAAAATGAAGGCGCTACTTTAAAAGACAAAAGTTATGTAAAAAGTGCATTACTTATGTGCAAAGCTGATATTAGGTTGTCCCGAAAGTTTTCTCCGTTCTTTCAAACCACTATAAACCCTGCGCAACAAAGACCTGAATGTCAGCATACATTCGATGCAGCTTTTCCTTCTCTTTCTTACGGATACATTTTCGAGGCACAATCTTGTATGCTTTTTTTGATAATTGTCAAAATTCTCTACCCGTAAATTTTGCTCAAAGTGAGGCTAATTTGTGAAAACTTCATTCCAAAGTTTCGAAAAGGATTGAGTATGGATCAAATAGTGCAATTTTCAGAATACAAGGTGATTTTAGACGCTCCTAATCTGCTTTTTTTAGCTTCAAAAAATTATTTCTTCGGAGGTCTCGCTTTCTGGCAAAGTCATGAAACACGTGACTGCAGCAAATACACGAAAGCTTTGAAGTTCCTGTGAGTTGAAACTTGATCCTTATTAAACATTATTTATGCAACATAACCAAGTTTGATTCGCTTTTCCAGATTTTTGAAAATTTCGGTACCTTCACGTGGTTAACGTAATTGAACAGCCGCGGTTTTTACTGAATAAATAGATTGTCCCAAAAGTAAACTCATTTTCATATAAATTAAGCTGTTCTTGTTTTCCTGACTTTTTAGACTTAAGGTACCATTCGATAGAGCAGAGCAAGCTCTACAAAAAGACCACCAAGGACCTACCTAAGTCGTAACCCAGGCAAAATTTGAGGCCAGAAATCAAAATTTTTCAGCTACCCTTATCTCCTTCCAGAAAATTCGTGCAGACTTCCAACTTGGTTTTTATATAGTAGACACATAGTAGTGCCCAAAAATGTATTTGGCGGATTTTTCTCGGGGCTCAAAATTGAGAAAAAAAGAGTGCGAAAATGCGTGTCACCTTTTTCAGGTTTCATGTAAAACTTGGTATTTCTCGATTATAAGAGCACATACAAGGAGTAAGGTTTTGAAATTGCACTAAGTAAGGCTTGTAGTATACAATGACATATGTGGGAGGGACTAGGGGCGGAGTTTGCCATTTTTGGACAATTTTTGTTTCTCGCTTTTTATGCTTGGAAAGAATGCCTCAAAAGCATATTTGGGTATTACTTTGTGTGCGCCTACTGTATAATGACCAAGTTGGAGATCCGTAGGGCTTTTCCACGCGAAAATCCACTTTTCAGGTGACAAAATTTTTTCGATTTTCGCTTCAAACTTTACATGGAATGCGACTTAGACGGATCTTTGGGTGTTTGTAGAGCTTGATCTGCTCTAATCTGCTCTATCGAATGATACCCCAGTTCTATAAGTAAAGCAAAAACAACTTGAATTATTCAAAAAAGGAGTTTACTTTTGGGACAACCTAATAATTATAACGGACTTAGTAAACGCCCATGTAATCTAAAATGGGTACTATTTAGCCAAAGTTTGCTCTACATAACAGTCGCCAGCGCTCCTTAAAAACGTTAGCGTGAAAATTTTTTAGTTAGAAAAGGTTTAGCGTTACTGTTGAGCTGCTCAAAAAGCCATGGCAATAACGTTGCAGAGACAGAGTAGATCATAGAGCAAATATAGCTGTAAGAAAGAATATAAAAATCTGAATCAAGTGGTACCTGGATCGTCCATGGATTGGTGTTCAGTGAGTTTTGATGAGCGATGATGAAAACGGACAAGACTTTCGGGACAACCTAATATAAGGGTGATTTATAAATAATGAATGTTTTTCTACCTCAATTTCAAAAGCTACTTCTCAAAGTACCCGTTTTTCCGAAAACTTTTTACGGTATGTTAAAGCCTACCTCTTTTCTTCTCCTCTCTCAAACATCCTTTCATCTTCAAAAGCCTTTGTACAAATAGAACATTTATGCTTTCAAAGATGAGAGATTGAAATTTGAAAAAATTTTACTTTTATACTTGCCTTGATCCAGAAAAATGCTCAAATTATTCAAAAGATACGTATTCGCATATGTTGCGAAGTCTTGCGACAAAATCAAATTAAAGGACATTTTTTGAAAACCTTGAGCCGAGAAGCTTTAGCCCAAACTTGGCTAATTGCTCTCAACATTCTACACTGTATAATAACTTTAGGCAGAAAGCGACCGCGGAACTTCCTACACAGGTAGAGTGGACCTAGTACAACTAATGATTAAAAAACGGCAGGATTTCCTCGTTTCTCGAATAAGACTAAAGCAAAGAAGTCTAAGGCAGGATTCATACTGAGCCGCACAAAGCGGCACAGTTCCCGCACAGCGCTCGAACTGTGCTGCATGCGCAGTTGGAGTATTTTGACCGTTTCTGACGGTTTTTCATTTGGGTTTCTCTCAATTCGGGCCTTATTCCTCCACCCCGCTTTTCCTTTTGATGAGTGGAACTCCGAGTGCAAAGCGGGATTGAGGAAAAAACGCTGTTCTGCTTCGTGTGTCCGATTATGTGTGTTGTTCCGCTCGTTCATGTCTCTTTGTTTTATCCTTGCATAAAAGTATTCCATCTGTTTCCAGAAGGCACTGCGATATTTTCGCAGGCATTTTTCTTGAAGGAGGGCGAAAATAGTGCAGAAGAGCAGGAAATCCCATCAATTTGTTGGCCACTATTAAGCTCCTAGCCCCTCTTCGTTTTCATTTCATTGTTTTTTCATTCTTTGTTTTACCCCGCTTCCCTTTTTGTTGTGTAGCGCTTCGAACTTGAAGCGGGGTAAAAGAATGAACGTGATTGTGCTTCATGTATCCTCTCAACCGCGTTCTGTTTCCATTTCATTGCTTCTTCGCTCTTTCTTCTACCCCGCTTCAAGTTCGAAGCGCTACACAACAAAAAGGGAAGCGGGGTAAAACAAAGAATGAAAAAACAATGAAATGAAAACGAAGGGGGGCTAGGAGCCCAATAGTGGCCAACAAATTGATGGGATTTCCTGCTCTTCTGCACTCTTCTGCGCATGCAGCACAGTTCCGGCACAGTTCGAGCACAGTTCGAGCGCTGTGCGGGAACTGTGCCGCTTTGTGCGGCTCGGTATGAACCCTGCCTAGAAACTCAGTTTATTGCCTTTTTTGAAATGAGAAAAAAGTGGGAACTTTCGATTCTTTGCCATAATTATCCGCAAAAAAAATTCTCGTGTTTTCCAAGTTTTACTTTACTATTCAACTGACCACTGCCACAAAATGAGGAGAGTTTGCGCCAGCCGAGTAGATTCTAGAGTACATGACATCTTAGCAGAGCTTTCCAGAAAAAATTATCGGTAGTTTCCGTGCCCAAAAATCTCTTTCATAACTACAGGTATACCGTCATATGCATTGTATAGCTGAGGATTTCCTGTTTGCACTAGGTTTTCTCGTACTCAGAAAGATGGTATCGGAAGAGAATTATTTCGGTTCAAAGTTGAAGATTAGAAAACGTGCATTATTGAAGTTTAGAAAACGTCAATTATCTACGAGCCAACCTAATATTTTCTCAGCATGCTTACTTACCTCCCACACTGTGCCAACTCCCAGATTCGAACTCTGCAAAAATCGATAAAATCGATATCGATTGATGACGAATGGTAGCCTACAACACCCGCCCCGCCCCAAAATGTATGTGTGCAATGTTTGGTCCGGATCGCTTCAGATTAAAATTTCTATTCGTAACAAACGTGCAGAAATGTAGACATATAGACAAACAGGCATTTAGTCATATACAAACAGATTAACTTTGCAAGGTTTGCAATCTGAATAACGTTTGCGCTCGACGTTAGCGTAACCGCAAACTTAGACAGATTTATGGATTCATTTTTAGTTTGGAACCTGTGTATCACAACCCGAGTAAGAGTTTGACTCCTTGTACTGAATTTCGAAGTTACTAGCTGAAATTAAATCATTTTAAACATTTTGTGTTTCAGATGTGCAAATTAGTTTCTCACATTAGTGCTATCTCGCTGCATATCTTTACTGAGTCATTTGCCTGTTTAGAAGTGAAGCATTACATCACTTGAATTTTCATTTCGCCTCCAAACTGTACAAATGGATCTGCACAATGACATCTCAGTTACAAGCTTTCTTTTGAAAAAGGCCCAGATATGTAATCACCCAAAACTCGTGACTTTTCCTTCAGGGACGTCCACAATATGGATTCTATCAAGACTAGCCATAAAACGTGAACTCTCTTCGAATGGTTTTCCGTCAAGGATTTCTGTTGAAAAATTACAAGCACCTCATGGAGATGCTCTTTTAAAAGTAGCTTCAAAGAATAAATGGCCTTATCAGTATCAATATATATTCGGAAGCAGTTGACTCCAAAGCGAGAATATGATCTGTGAAGATAGATATAGCTCATATATAAATTATCAAATATTTATTTTTATCATTGCTCGGTAAACCTAGACCTAAGACACAATCACTTCGATTACTTCAAAAAAGCTACCCTAAGAGAGCGCTGCTAGTGTGCAATTTAGAAAGACCTAATCTTATACTCTACAAGCGTTATTATTTCCCAAGATTTGGGCAACATGCAGGAACGCAGGCGTTGAGTATCACATTGGCAGGAGTTGTTAGGGAGGAAGGCCACACGTTGTAGGCTGAGGAACCGGCACCTGGGCAGGGACCTGAAAAAACTTCTATCTCAACGTGCTCATATAACTAAAGTGGGTTCATTACTCACAGGCCATGGGTATGGATCCTCCCATACCGAAACCATATGGTCTGATCCCAGCTCGTGCAGCAAATCGCTGCAAACACTCATAGAAGTTATAATTATGTAAGGGAAACGAAACTCACCAAATAGCCATTGCAGCCCGTTGCGCCCCCACCCATGCCCATACCTGGGTTTGCTATTCCATAAAGCTGCGCTAGAAGAGCTGGGAGGAATGCAAGCAGAATGAACAGTTGAGCGTTCATTTTTGAATTTCTGAGAAATGAAAAAATTTCTGGAAGTGCTTTCGGCTTCAAATTCTTAAAAAAATGTCGGAACTGAATAGTGCAAACCATGATTTTACATTGTCCTCTAGGTACATCTGAATAGGTTTTGCTAAATCACTAAGTTACAAATGTTTCCCATTTTAACACTGATTCATCCCTTTTACTTTTTTGGCAAAAAAAATTAAGCATTGAGTTATCTCACAATCTTAGTTTTATGAATAAAGCTACTATAGCTTACATTCAAGCCCAAAGCAATAGGATGACAACAAAAAGCAAGTTCATGAACAAATTTTCCGAACATAAACATCGAAGAACAAAATGTTTTGTTGTTGTAAATATTCATTTCCAGTTTAGTTGTTCCTACCTATTTAGCACCGAATTCGATCAATAAATCTATAATTGCTATATATCAAAAATTATGGGTTGTACAGCCAATTGGAATTTTCGAAAAATTTGACTTCGGCAGTACTCGAAAAGAATTTAAAAAATACAAAAAAATCAAAACGAGAACTTCCAACAACGTTTAAAAAGTATTTCGGGACAATACTAAAGTCTTAGACTTTGTGATCCATGGTCAATGAAAATATTAGGAAGTTAAAATCCCGTATGCTTTTTTGATAAGATGGCCAGAAATATTTGTGAATGTTTAAAATTTTCTAAAATACTGTCAAAATAACAGAAATTAGGAAAGCGGGTGTCCTTCAGTTTTAACAGCCTCAAGAGTGACAAAACAAAGTGGAAGTCATTGAGCTTTGACAGCTCAGAAGTAAGTGATAGATCACATTCTTGACTTTGTAGCCTTCCTACTAGTCTGTGTTTCCGAACACTATGCTTTATTATTCTACTTCCTTACCTGAAGAAATCACAGCTCGAATTACGCAATAGGAACAAGCAGCGATTGGCAACTGGTCACCGGTAGTGCTTAAATAGCAGCGTGAATCCACGTGCACGCAGGCGCAAAGGCGATCACGCTGGAGTGGACAGTTTTCTTTTTTCTCCATTCGCCAATGTAAACAACTGTCCAACGAAAGTAAATATTCACCTGGTTCTCATAGTCCAGTTATCATCACTACAGAATAAACAATCTATGAATCTTGATGAAAAAGCTGTAAGAAGGGGATTCAATAGTGTTGTTGTGCGCATGATTAATTCGGACCAGAATTTTGTACTTGAAGACGGCAGCGGAAGTGGATTTGTTTACTGACCACTAAGACCTGCCTATTGTTTACATATTTGAAAGAAAAAAGCGCTAAGGAATGATTGCGTAAAGCTTTGAGGATACTCAAAAATCTCCCCATAATGTTCAGCAAAATCTTCTGTCCGGATCTATAATTTACTAGCTGGCTTACCCGGCTCCGCCGTATCCGGACCAAACTTGGCACACATACACTTCGGGCCCCGGCGGGTGTCACAGTCCACTTTTCGTTATGGATCGATGTCGATTTTACCGATTTTTATCGATTTTTTTGCAGAGTTCACCTACAGGGCTAGGAGTTGGCACAGGGGGAAGTGAGCATGGGGATTCCGAATACAACATTAGTTTTCAGGATCGTCCATTACTTTTATCGATTTTATCGATTTTTTTGTAAAGTTTGACCTGCGGGGCTGGGAGTTTGCACAGGGGGGTAATCGAGCATGCTGATTACGAACACAATATTAGTTTTCAGGATCGTCCATTACTTTTATCGATTTTATCGATTTTTTTTGTAAAGTTTGACCTGCGGGGCTGGGAGTTTGCACAGGAGGGTAATCGAGCATGCAGATTACGAACACAATATTAGTTTTCAGGATCGTCCATTACTTTTTCGATTTTATCAATTTTTTGAAAATTTGAGCTAGGGGGCTGGAATTTGGCACAGGAGTATAATCGAGCATGCATGCTCGATTACCCCCCTGTGCCAACTCCCAGCCCCCTAGCTCAAACTTTGCAAAAAAATCGATAAAATCGATAATAGTAATCGATAATCCTGAAAACCAATATTGTATTCGGAATCCCCATGCTCGATTACCCCCCTGTGCCAACTCCCAGCCCCGTAGGTGAACTCAGCAAAAAAATCGATAAAAATCGATAAAATCGATATCGATCGATGACGAAAAGTAGCCTATGACACCCGCCGGGGCCCATAGTGTATGTGTGCCAAGTTTGGTCCGGATCGGTTCAGAAATGGAATTTTCTATTCGGAACATACGTACAGACAGACATACATACAGACAGACAGACAAACAGACATTCAGCTTTATATATAAGATAGAACTCCAAAAAATTGTTATGAATGTATTAGATTGTTTGGAAATTGATGCAGGTCTCTTGCTCGATTGCGGCAGAGTACATACAAAAATGTTGAAAACACACTGTTCGATAGAGTAAAGCAACCTTTACGGGACTGCATTAGGATGATCGCAAAATGTTTGATCCATGTAGAGTTTTGAAAGCTTCTAAATAAATTCGAATACCCAACAATTACATCTCTATCCAAAAAATCCTACGGAACTCCAAATTAGTCACGCATATGATCCCTACACCAAATATTGATACACTTACGGCATTTTCACAATGGCTGAAAATTGAAAATTAAAAATGGACTAAGAATGCGAAAATAGTGCCTTTTTCTGTTATTTTTGCGCTAAATTCAATGTTTTTTCGGATACTAGCCCTTGGAGGAAGCTAAAAATCTATACTTCTATGGTTTTGTAACTTAGAGCTACCTATGTCAGAATGGCAGGCATTGTATTTGCTAAAGCATGTCGAAGACCATTTTCTCAATTTCTAACCGCAAAAAAATGCCGCAGTTATACATATGAATGTTTGATGTGGATAGTATATGCATGACCAAGTTGGAGTTCGGCAGGATGTCTCTGGAAGAAAATCTGATTTTTCGGATGTTCAAATTCATTTTGAATTTTGCTTTCAAACTCCACTTGTATCAGACTCTTTGTGATCGTTCCGATGCATCTTTGTCGAGGTTGCTTTGCTTCAACGAATAAAATGTTTCCCACATTTTTATATTTACTCGGCCGCGATCGAGCAAGGAACCTGCAGTTTCCGGACAACCTAATAACATTCTGTTTTTCTTCGAAACTCTTTTGTATATGCTTTGGTGATAAGAGTTAATATACAAGCGGTTACTGTTCCGCCTTCTCATGGAGCTGTGCTGTTACGGCCGCTGACTTACCCTGAGTTTTTCTGTGGTATTTTGACGAATTTTAATGAAGTTTTATGGTCAAAATATTCAATTACTAAGTTCGCCAGAAAGCCCGAAAAGGCCAATATATCAAACGGGAGACTATGGGATACCGCAGTTAATAATCGACTGCAGCCTTTCGTGCAGTACTCGCTCGTCATATGTTTGCTCATATTATAAAACTAGAACAGACAGGTAACTAAGACCAGAACAAGACTGCGGCTTGGGAAAACGTATAGATTCTGCGTATTGCTCCGAGATCAACTGTTAATACAAATCCTGTATAAAAGTTCCTGAACTGTTCAGAACATTGTGCCGACAAACTTGAAAAGAGTGCAGTAAGAAGTTTGTGATGTTGCTGTGTATAGCTTGTCGAAAATCAAATATCAAAAACTGTTCGGATTGGTCATTGCGTACCTCAAGCATGAGTAATCAGTTCCATGCAATTGTGCTTCCAATTCGGTGCTTTGGTGAAATAACATTATGCCTTTCCGGCTTCTATATTTGGGTTTAAAACTACGTTCGCCACTTATCTAACAGCTCATTACCTCCTTTTCGATGAATTTTCTAGAAGTTATTTTTGTTTTTAGGAGATAACAATGCACATTACAGCAGTACCTTTGCTATAGATTAGTTTGAGAATATTCGAGGGTTAGAAGCATTTGAAGGAAATTACTCAAAAATGGCATTTTTCAAGTACGATAATAAAAATTTTTGGAAGTACTTCTGTTCAAAAGTGAAATTTTTGAACATTACAAGCGCATATTCATTCTATTAGTATGAGAGTTTGAAAGTTAGAAGCAAATGAAGAGAATTACCTCAATTTTGCAACTTTCGAACATACTCAAACAATCTGAAAACATCACGTGGAAGCCGTAACAGTCATAAACATAGCCTTGTGACCTCCTCTATTTAGCTAGGTGGAATTCGAGACGATCGAAAGCAGGTTGGTTTTGTAAAAAACGACGAGCATTTTCCAAAAAAAAGCATAAGGATGCTTTTCATAGGAACGTTCCTTCAGCAAGAATTTTGCCTTGCTAGAAAGGCGAGATCATGAAACATATGTTTATGTCTGTTTTGAAATTTTTGTCATGTTTTTGGATTTTTGGTGAGCTTTTTTTTCAAAAACACCAAAATTTGAATGATCTTTTTTTGCATTTTTCAACTCTGTGAATTGTGCTTCGTAGCCATATTTAGAAACTATATGATCTCTTCATTCTAAGTAAATTTACGCAGGCAGGCAGATAGCAGAGAGGTACGGTTTTTCAAGAAAAAAATCGGTGCCAGCGAACTTTTGCATCCACTAATTGCAGGTATGTGAAAGTGGTGGGGGCACTAATTCATGTACACAAAATTCAAAACAACTATTTTAATGACTTCCACGCTGCCTATAATGAGGTCTATAAAAACCGGATTTTGAGTCGTAGGCAATACTTATCTAAGTTTGATTTGGGGAGCACTAGCATAATTTTCCTCCGAGATTTTACGTCTGTGAAATGTTGTGTTGCAGAAAAGAAACATGAGTATGGCTGCTGCAAGTTCAAGATCAGTGAATGAAAGTTACTTTGACCAGTATCGTTCTTTCAGCTCCGCCAGGGCCTGGCACCAGCTGGCACGGGGCAAGCTGGATATCGTTTTTGGGGCAAAAAGCAAAGGGGGTTTCGTTTTTGTGGGCGAAGACACGCCAAAAATTGGCGACCTTTTTTTAGTCGACGTTTCGTTTTTGGGGGGATTTTGGGGAATTTTTCAGGTTTTTACAGGGGATATCGTTGGGGGTCAAAGGGGACTTCGTAAAATTTTGGGAAAGTCAAAGGGATTTTGAAAATTTCCTGGTGCCAGCTCGTGCCGAGCCCTGGCTCACGCATACTACTTGGTGGGGATGTGTTCTCAAGATTATGGATTTCGGAAATCCCTATTAATCTTTCACTAATTACAAATTATATTTCACTGATTACAAGCATAGAAAATTCGCGTCACATGACGTGCAGTTGTATCACCGTTCCCTATACGTCGATTCACTTATCGCTAATATTGAAAAAAACCAGCCGTCATTGCTTCTACCTCTTCCTGATAAATCGGACTATTTGCAATCGATAACAGCTCAGCCATGGTAAGTACTCCGTTTTACAATACTAAAAAGTCATATAAGCAGTTCATCTCAATTTCTGTCATGCCAGTTTGGTACATGTTGAAAAAAATATACTTCCTTGATTGCCCATGCACTTTTTCTCAAAAATTTGTCTAAGCAGTCTAATGGACATTCATAATCCAGGAAGATTGGCTTCGTTGAATTTATTATTCATGAGTGAATGTCCAATCCAACGGTCATTAGCCTTTTCTTCATGGCAAAATTTTTTTCGCGACACCAGATGGTCCGAAGGTCTTTATCCATTTTCTCAGTATGGCGTTGTAAAAATCTAAGAAACGGAAAAATTGTAGGTCTGCCCTTAACCTCATTCCCCTAATTTGATCGTATCCATTTCTAGCACTCGTTCCTAGTCTACATAACTGGTAACTTAAGGGTCTATTTAGAACAACAACTCTGATATTTATCTTTGTCTTGAAGTGATAACACTTATATTGGAATTGCTCAATGCCATCAAATATGACTTTGAAATTATGGAGAGAAGTATAGGAAAACATAACCACTTTGAGCTTTCTATTAGTGTCCGAGACAAGAACGACTTTATTTTCTGTGGATAGATAAGACATTTCTATGGATAGTGCTAGAAAGAACTAGTTTGGAATGTTCTAGTTCAAAAGAAAGCATGGCTAAGAACGAGCGCAAATTGCTTCGTTTATAAGTCAAGCAAAGTCATCGAACTCATATTATTATGTTACTTCTACCTGTCGGAAATTCATGGGAATAGAACCTCTCCCAAGAATCATTAGTTTCAATGAAAATTGTGTATATGTTGTAATCAACAAAAAAAATAAATGTTGCTTTTAGTCTAGTTTTTCTGTTTCGATAAACGGATCTAGTGCGTTTTCAAAGTACTTTAAATTAGTTTATTAAAATATTACATACATTCATAGGAGAACAGATAAAGGGTAGAAAAATTTCTGCGGGTAGAACTGGGTGAAAAAATTTTGGATTGACCCAATGAGTGAATGGATCTAGTGCGTTTTTGAAGTACTTTGAACTACTTTGTTCAAATCACATAGATTTATGAAGTGTAAAAAATTCCTGCGGGTTTGAAATTAAGTAAAAAAAATTTCTTCAGGCTGATCCGGAATATGCAAAGTTTGAGCGGCCGGCATATGGAGGTACCATCGACCTGGACAGGTAGATTTCCTACTCAAAAAAGAGATTGCTGTGTTCAAATACTACCTAATACAAATTAAATTCATATTCAGGCAATACCGAAGTTTATCTTTGAGCGACAGAGTAATCATGTCACCAGTATATGTGCCAAAAGCAAGTCTCAATAAAGACCCTCCAATTCGTGATATACGTGGGATTTTTGCAACTCATGAGAAAAATCTTTGAGTTATAGATTCAACAGTTTGATTTAGACGACGAAGACTACTATAAACGGCAGTTCAACGGAGATTCGCGAAATCATAATCTGGCGATATTTGATGAGGCTAGATATGGAGAAGATACATATGGAGCTAGGACTCTCAGAGAAGATACATACGGAGCTAGAGAGAATTTCTATGCCACAAAAGGCGTCATTGATGTACAGACGGCGCATGGCAGTTTGCCAAAATTACCAAGATTGCCGAAGCCGGAGAGTATTCCTAATATCCCGGAGACTTACTCTGCTACAAGAGGCTTCTCTGATTTGCAGACGTATAGCAATTTGCCGAAACTGCAACAAATGGGGAGGTATGGCTAATGCATAATCTAATCTCACAAAAAATTTATATCCCAATGGAGGAATTCATCCGAATATTATTACTCAAAAATCGCATTTGTTTAAGGATCCCTCGGCTACCTGTGAAATTAGAAGACAAGACTACAGCCAAAGAGGAACGTGAAAGAACTTCTGATGAGTAAGTACGCATACTTTGATTCCACAACACTGAAGCAAGTGAAGCTTTCATGAGATGGATGTGCTACGCTCAAAGCTATCTAAAGCCTTGGCCATAGCTCAAGGGCGATCTCAGTCGCCACGCGATCTGGCAACTTGCCAAATGTCTTCGCATCCAACAGTGGCAGATCGAAAATCTATAGAGCTTTGTAGCTCTAAATTGATAAAATGTACTTTCCTCTGCATAATTGAAGTGCGCGCACGATGAGTTATGGACACAATTGGAGTACTGCCAAAACGCGTCGGGACTGAAATCGCGTGAGGTATGGCCAAAGCCTAAGGATAATTGTGTAAATTGGAGGACGACCATATGATAGCCTGATGCAGAAAGACGTTTGAAGTTTGGGTTTCGGAGTGCCGTATTTTCACTGTATAGAGTTTTCGCACAATCTCAAAATTTTCATTTTCGACAAGGCTTGATCGCCGCTCGTACACTTTAGCCTAATGAGGTTGAGAACCTAACGCACCCGGGTTTGCTCCATTTGGAGCAAACTGAGTGCCAAACTGACTGTGGCTTGGAGTACTTTACTAAATCATTTTGTTAAGGTTTGGCAGAGTTAACGATGCTCGCGTTATTATCTCGAACCCTCAACTCGGTTATCAGCGTATGTTGTTTATCTTCGCTAAATATCCGGCTCTAATAACGGCTATGGTTGCGCTGTGGTGTATAACTGGCCGTGGTCAGGGCATGAAGAAAACAAAAACGGAAAATGTGAGCGAGCCTGATAAATCCTTCTGCAATTTAATTACAATTCCAGGCAGCTTACTATATTTCACTGATAATGGCAATTTTTGTACTGATTTCGCAACTGCCGGCCAGCATCCAACATCACTATTCGCTCAAAAAGGTCAAAATACTGGTGAGGTGTATGAGGGTGGAAAGGTCGTTACCGTACCAATTCCCAATTCAGAGCTATTTTTGTCATGGTTCCATGGTATTCACGAGTTTGCTTGCTTTATTAGTGATACTATTTGCTTCGCTCAACTTCACAGAATACACCGGCAAAGAGTGATAATTGAAAATACACACTGAAAACTTTAAGGCTATGTCATACTTTTTTAGAGGTAAAATGACGTGCAAATACACAGATCAATGCTACACTTACACGGAAAGAGTTGCGTATTTGGGTACGCTTGTTGGATGCAGTGTTGTGATAATATCTTTTGCCATCGACACATTTGTATATGGAGGTTTCGGTAAAGCCTTACTTGTTAAAATTCCACCTTATATTCTGATCACTCATTTATTCTCGCTCCCAATCTTGCTAGGGCCATTTGCATAGGATACAAATTCCTTCTAAATTTTTTAGGCTTGTCCCATCTGAGGAGACGAAGAGTGGTGGAGAGGTAACTTCCTTGGCCAACTTCAATGCACTCGAGACGTTTTCTTCTACAGCAGATTTTTTTACTGTGTGCTTCGAATGAAAGTAAAATAAACCTTGTATGAGGTTGCAAACACATTTTTGAGTCCATGAAATAAGCTAGTATGCTCAGTTGCTTTCTTTGATGTGTTGTATTTCAAGTCTCCAAGGAAGCTTGACTTTGCTTTAGTTTTCAATTGACTCATCACAAAAACTGCCCACGCGGTCATGCAATATGTATGTTCCTACACTTCTGAACCGTATAGGCCGTATGAGGCAGATTTTGGATTGGAGGGTGTTGCTATGTTGAGTTTCAATGTTCGTTTGCGACTTCATTCAGAGATATATTATTAGTATGTGTGAAACCGCAACAGATAGCAGCCGCATCTGTATAACGGTAAACAGTACGCCCGGCCTCTCGACGGAAGGCGCTTGCATTGTAACCCTCCCCCTTTCACCGCTTTCAAAACTAAATTTGATGAAGGGGCAATTGATTGCGCAGGCGAGCCTATGAGTAGCAAGAACTCTAACTTTTGGAAGAAAAAAGGGCAATCTACATTGGTAGCGCAGTGAAGGGCGTAGAAATAAGAATTCTACCCGAAATAAAACGAACTTGAAACGCCAAGGGAACGGCCACACTGTTCTAAGAGTGATTTCTGCGATTCCTGTAATTTCTGCAGTTCCTGCGATTCCTCGACTTCCGATGTGCCGTACTACGGAGCGCTTTGCGAATTTCAAAGCACATTGTTTTTTTTGCGATATACATTGTTGCGGGACCCGCAGGAATTATAGGAATCGCAGATATTGCAGGAATCACAGGAATAGTATGGCCGGTCTCCAACAAGTATCAATGTGAATATGTCTAACAGTGTTTGATTTTTGAACAATCATGGGTTGACTAAATATGCGGCTAAAACCGGCTATGGTCAAATGTAGTAATAAGGGATGGTAGAATAAATGTGGTCAACATAAAGGGTGAAGTCCACAAGAAAGTGCTTGCATATAAAACGAATGATAACTGAAGCTACTACATGCTTGAGCGCGCTGGCCGCGTGGACGATGGCCATAGCGTGAGCTTGAACTAGCCACAGTTTGAAATCAGAATTCAGCCCATTGTCTTCCGGGCTTTTCGAAAACAAATCCGCTGTAACATTCGCAGTTTTCCCCGGCGCTTTTCTTTAGAGTCATTTTTCTTTCTCCGAAGTCAACGTAAAACCTCCAAAGTTGTGCAGATTATCTAACCCGGCAGTGCTAAGCATGTTGCTGATGAGAACAAATGAGTTTTTGAAAAGTCGAATTTTTCGGTAAAACAAATTTCGACCTGTGGATCATCGAAAATTTCATGATTACAGACATCATTTGTTCTTATCAGCAACATGCTTAGCACTGTCGAGTTAGATAATCTGCACAACTTTGGAGGTTTTACGTTAACTTCGGAGAAAGAAAAATGACTTTAAAGAAAAGCGCCGGGGATCATCATGGATCATACAGGGTGTCCCAAAAGTCCCTAAGCCTAACTTTTCAACGTAGTAACTTTGTTAGTTTTTTTCGATTTTCAGCCAAATTTTGCATTTGAGTTCTTCGTCTAGTTTCCAGTATTCTTCAAGAAAATCATACCGTTTGCGTTGTACATTCTCGAGATATACTTCTTGAAGCAAACAATACTACAATAATAAAGGCAAGCCGAAGCAAACGTACCCCCTATCAAAATATTTACAGCTCTTTTGCCTTTGGAGCTCTTGTGAAACTGCGTATTATAGGGCTAGGTTCACTCTACATTTGCAGTGCAAAACCAATCAATAGCCTTCGTTATTAGAGTAGGATTAGGATACAAACACTGAACTTGTGCCGTGCCAATAAGAAGAAAACGTTCTCGGAAACAAAAACCTGGGAAAGCTGAAAACTCCAACACCGAATCAGTTTGAGTCACTAATTCTAGCTGTAAGCCCTGCATTTCCTACTAAAATACCATTCTAAAGTCACTCCCGGTACACCATAATTGCTGTTTTCTTTGTGTTCTCACATACTTGAATGCTACATTTTGACACTTTTGTCAAATCTCACAGATATGCTTCTCGAATTTACGTGACTTCAATAGCCGTATTAAGAAGCACTTGACTTTTCTTTGTGATCAGTCATGGACAGCAAGGCTTGCTCTATTCCATGCTAAATTTTGGAGAGTCTGGATTGCTTGCTTCAGAAGGTGTGAGACAATCTCGATGTCAACTATCTGGCTGCCATGGTGCATGCATTCCGCTAGCGTCTGAGAGCCTGTGTGAAGGCCAAAGGAGAGTTTTCCGAAATCTGAGTGTATCATGTTGATTTGTAGGTTCTTTGCTAATTACCTGTTGAATTTCATGCGTCTATGTTGCTTCGTACATTTTCAGCGGAGGAAATACTAGGCTTAAAGACTTTTGGGACACCCTGTACAAAAGCTGGAAAATGCAGTTCGTACAGCTTTTCGCTCCTGTTCAACATGTTCATAGTGAAGGGTAGTAGGAATACTTACGGATAGGTACACAACGTGAAATCCAGGTATCTGGAGTTTCGAAATATAAAGCTTTCTTTTGAGCTGCGATCCCCTCCCCGCGGGGATGTTAGTGCATGCGACCCTTAGCTGCTTCTAACGGTCCTCTCTTGCATAGACGTACTAACGTCCTCTTTTGCATAGACGAGGTAGAAGAAAATTGATCCATTTTTAAATTTTCTGTGTAGGGTCCTAAAAAATCGGAGACTTGCAAGAAAAATCGGAGCAGTTGGTATTGTGGGCTCTGTTACCTGCTCTTTCTGACTGTGCAGAATTTGTGCTGATTGAACATTTCTATGAAAAGTTATGATTTTCGAGCAAGCAATACAAAAAGGCAATTTAGATTTATTCTGGCATTTGTCTCGAAAATCATAATATTTGATAGAGGCGTTCAATCAGCACAAACTTTTGCATAGTTAGAAAGAGCAGGTAAAGAATCTATGATACCAAGTGCCCAGATTTTTATTGCAAGCTTCAGATTTTTATGACCTTACATAGAGAAATCGAATTCTGAGTAGTTTTTTCGGTACTTTTCCGTTATCCGGACCCATTTTTTCAAAAAGCTCTTTTAAAATACGTTCTGTAGTCCAGGTACAAATTTTCATAGATTCTACGAGGACTGCCTCCCCGCCACGTGTCAGGAAAAATTTCACACGTTCTACCCCACTTTGACATGTTTTTTGAAAATAATTTCCGGTGAGGTAAAAGAGCATTTGTAACCATTTAGAAGCTGTCAAGCTGATTTATATAAGCAAAACAATCTAGAGCCATTACTAGAATATCTTGATTGCTTCTAGCAACGGTTCAAGAATGTATTTCTTTTCAAACTTTCAGCCATGCGAGTTTAGCCAGAAAAGTCTACAAATGATGGCTTGCAGTACTACCTCGCTGCTGCTTTTCGCCGCTTAGACGATGGAACCCTAGTGCACTTCTCTATTCTGGGCATGTCTAGTATGTTCATTGGTAAGAGTGCGACGTTCTTATCATAACAATGTCATTTTTGGAGTTGTCTAATCGAAAATAGGGTCATTATTGACCAAAAAAGGTTGAACTTATATAGCTAGGTAGGGCAACATGAAGTCCTGGTAAAACTCGTTAAACATGTAGATGGCATGTCAAATTTTTTTGACACGTGGCAGAAGGTTGACACTCTTCCCTATGAAGTTGGGAACAAATATGGTGCAAGGAAAGAAGCAGTATCCTTCTTTGAAAAAATGGGTCCGGATAACGGAAAAGTACCGTTTTTTCTACCGCTCCTATCTATGCAACATACGACCGTTAGTGAGCATCTAAAATTTTAGAAGTTACGAATTTTTGAAATCAGTGAGAACGAACTTTCGGGATATTAACACGATATGTTTGGAACAAAAAAATTGACTTCCCTGCAGATGTTGTGCACTTGGACACTTTTCAAAAGTTGGCGATCGTCGCAGGTATCATACCTATCATGGGTGCGGATCATCAATATAATCACTCCACTAAAACATTAGCGCCTAAACCACGAAGAAAATCAAAAAGAAACAAAAGGAGATGTCATTTCACAGGAAGGGTACGCAAGATCAACATGAGCTGAACTCGGAAACTTTCGAAACAAAGTCTTTTTTATTATCATTTAAGAAAGCCCTTTTTCAAAGACACTAATGACATCAGAGCTTTTTCACAAATATTGTAAGTAAAAAAACCTACAAATCAAAAGAAGTATGAATAATCGAGATCATTTTTTCAACTTTTTTCAACTTAGTGAGCAGAAATAACTGTGGAAGCATGACCCTTACCGCATCAAAATTTGATGGATTGAGAGCAGGGGGAACGCCTTAGGCGTGGGCATACCGATAGTCAAGAGACAAGGGCTTGAAAGTGATAGTTGTTTGAGTTCTTGCCCCTATAAAAAGTGAAGGTTGTTTCAGAAAAATAGACGAAAATTTAGAGATACAAATTAAATTAGAAAACTTAGAAAATTCATATAAAGCAGAGGTTAGCACATCACCAAATCTGAAACCTTAACTTGGTGGTTTCCTACGCAGAGTTTCGTCTCCAGGATTGCCGTTAAAATTGAGTGACAACAACAACAAAGTTCTTTTCGAGTCAAAAAAGCGCTGTTTAGCTGTGGCGTTAGTTGGGAGACCGAAAGAAGAAGAACTTGTCAACAACTGAATTGAACATGTTAAACATGTCTATAAAGTTGTGTTGCACATCGACGCCAATCTGATTTTTGATGCGTCCTTCAAATTTTCACCCCCCCGCATAGTCATTTCGTACGCTGCGACGTTTTCTGGATTCTTCCGCTCATCATTCTGAGCAAGTATCGTCCAAGCTGGAAAAAATTCGCTGCAAAAGCACAGAAAGAGAACAAGGTAAAGAAAAACGCACTTTTTTGTATTTTTTGCAAAAAAACCGGCATAAGCAAAGAAGTAAGCTCTACGACGTTGTCTACATCATAGACAGAAACAAGACCTATCGAATGCACAAAAAAACCGAGTGAAAAAAGTTAAACTGATGAAAAAACAAGAGGTTTTCGAAAACACCGTTTTTCGAGGATTTCTCGTTTAAATCCTAAAAAGAAGTTCC